TTTAAGTCAAAGAATTGAATGATCAAATAAGTAAAAAATTCCGCTAAAATGTAAAATCCCTTGCCATGTAAGCATGAAATGGCAATATTTTGCCATCCAAGCAGCCAAACGAGTGAGTCCTAAACGGCAGTTAAGCCAGGCGAACCAAATCCCAAATGGCAGTTAAGTTGGCGTAAGAAGAAGGGCTTAATTGCTTTGATCACAGAGTTTAAGGGCTTATATGTATCAATTAAAGTCTAAGGGCTTAATAGCCATTCTGGGGTTAGTTCAGGGGCTTAACTTATGATTTTGCCCATAAATAAAATAAATATTTCTTATTAAAATTTTATGATTTTAACAAAATAACTGGTGGCCTAACCATTCCCTTTTCTCACCAATAATTCTCTTTTTTTGGTTAAAAAATTCTTAATTTTTCTCACCAATAATTCTCTTTTTTTGGTTAAAAAATTCTTAATTTCTATATTTGAAAAAAAAAAAATAAAATCAATGCAATTTCCAACTTTCATAAAGAGATTCTGTAGAGAAATAAATAATGCTTGAAGAATCTGAGATGGGCAAGCAGTCTCCATCAAACATTGTCATTGTTGGTTCTCTCCCTCCTACCTCTATTTTGTTGCAATTTCTTAAATTAAAAAACAGGCCAACAAACACTCTCACAGCACACAGACCCCAAAACACAGCTCTTCATATGGGTTGTTGGGGCCTTCCATTTTTTTTTAAAAATGAATTTTCTGTCTTTTATTGGTTGAACTTCAACATCATTCTGAGAGCGAAAGGAAAAAACTTGGTAAACGAAAACAGAGAAAAGCTGGTCATGGGCCATGGCGATCCACATTCCTCACCAACAACCGTCTTATTCCTTTCTTCCTGGCATTCCTTCTTCTTTACTACAAGTAACGTTGTTGTCGCCACCTTTGCCTCCCCAAAGTCTCACAGTGCTTCCCCTGAAATTGTTTCCTCAGGTGTCAGGACCCCTTTTGCTGCTTAGTTGGTATGTCATGGGTGATACCTGCATTTTTTTTTTGTTTTCTTATTGCTCTTTCTTTTGTTTGCTTCCAATTTAAAGTTAGAAGAAAAGATGTGATTTTGGGAATACCCATTTCTTGATTTAGGAGGGATGATTGGGATCTGGATACAAATGGCAAAGTGATCGAAATTCTGGGTTATTCTTTTTTGTTTGTATGATGAAAGTTCAACTCTTTACCCTGCGGACATCCCATTATGGACATTTTAGTGGGTCAATTATATTATGGGTTTATGCTCTGAGAGGCGCATTTCTGTTCCTTGTGATATTCAATTTGTTTTGGTGGATATGCATATGGACTTTGCTATTGCCATTTGGTTAGTTAGAGAGAAGAATAGTGAGTATTTTTGTTGTTGAAGACTGATATGAACTCTGGTTTTCTGCTTTAGCAACCAATTTCAATGTTTCCTGGTTCTGATGTAATCATGCATTTATTTTATTTTATTTTTCTGGATATTTTTATAGTCTGAACACTGATTGCATGGTGTATTCTGCAACTTGACCAATAAAATGGAGGCATCAAAATCGGAATCTTAAAAGATTATTAGCATGTTTTTGTCTAACACTTCACCATTTGAAATTTAATCAATGTTTACTGCCAGAATTGACTGTATTTATTTACACTGAAAATACTCTCAGGGTGATGTTAAGTTGAATACACTCTCGCAACATCAGTGATGGGTTCTCAAAATTTGTTCAAGACAATAATCAGTTTAAAGAGAGAGAAGGGTAGGAATGTAAAGCAAGTCAAGGTATAGTGGCGTGTAAAGGCTTTTCAATTTTGTTTAACATATTGCGGACTAAGTATCATTTATTTTCAATCATTTAAACAATCTTAGTTCCTTTATCGGTGTAGGTTTGGATAATAAATTGACCATTTAATTCCTTTTTCCTTTTCCTCAAATACCTTGGAAGGTTGAGTTTTCTTTTTACAGCATGATAAATTTGAAGACTATTTATTGGTTGTTTTTATGATAAAAAAATATGCGCAAATACTACCCTTTTAGTGGTAGGATTGGTATGTAGAAAAATGGCAATGACTGAGCGTTTACTTTATCTCTTCACATTGTTGTTACCATCTTCTTTCGCCTCTCCTCTGGTCAGGGATCTTCAGCTTCTGCAAAATCAAATGGCTTCAAATGGAAGAATCGTCCACAGAAGTTATCCACTAGTTCTGCAAATGGCTCTACTGGTGGAAATTCCAGCACTCTTGGTGTGCCAATTGAGGATTTAGCTGCAATTCGAATTCAAACTGCTTTCCGTGCCTATAAGGTATGTTTGGACTAATATCAGGCATTCTGCATGCTGATGTGATTGTGTGGGATTGTGTTATGTCTACCAATTTGCATTATCATTCTTTGATGTTCATTTTCAAAGTGGATGGTATAGAAATTGTTCTTGCACCTGCAGTTGGGTCTAGTGTAATTTTCTTATGTCTTTAACTTTCATTACTTTATCTGTAAGTCTAAAAGTGGGATCAGAAAAAGAAAAA